ACGACTCGTTCTATATATATCCCCCGCCATAGAACGCTCTCGACCTTACTCAAAGTTACTCTGTCATAAAATAGAAAATAAAAATTAAAATGCTCATTACTTATTAGCCTAACCGATAAAACCTAACTTCATAAAAGTAAAATTACAATTATATTAATGGTTGTCCGTGTGTTAAAAAATTCCAATCAAATGGGGTTTTACCTTTTTCAAAAAATATATGTAAATTTTAGAAAATGTCACAAACAACGGTTTACACTCGACAGACATAATATGATTTTCAAACTATAAATTAATAATAATAATTTACTGACCTTTTCCTCTCTTATCCTGTTGGATGTCAGAAATTAACAAATAAGTTTTTAATTACCTTGCCGATGTGTTTTCCAGCAGCCATATATCTGAAGGCGGACTCCACTTGATTCTTTTCAAATGTGCAATAAGTTAGAGGACGTACGGCACCACATTCGATTCCAGACAGAAGGAGGTTTTGGAGTCTCTAAAAAACCATCAGAGTGCGTAAATAATAAACATGTTTTGCACATACCAATTGTTGATTACTTTTGAAATTTACCTGTACTATTGCTTTTTGTACTGAGAAGAAACTACAATGAACTCAGCGACGACTATCCATCAGGTATTTCAAAGAATTACTTATTTACCAATAGGATATGGCAATTTTGTATTATTACAGGGAAACTGCGTTATATCCTGCCGTAGGACAATGCCGAGCAATGGAGTTGTATGGAAATCACGTCTGGACTGATCCACTCTACAGACCCTCAACTCAGAGACGACACACTTAATGAAAACTCTAAAGTGTGCTCTTGCCTTTGGATTAGTTCCAGATAAATCTCAAAACCAGAAAAGTCCCAATCGCAAGAGATTTACCTTGCGATTGGGTCTTATCATATAACTTACTCAGCTACACAAGCGTAACAAAACCGCGGAGGTAGAACTAAATAATTTATATTTCATTTCGTTTATTTTGCGAACCTGTTTGATATCATCGCTTTGATCGAAGATGTAACTCAACATGATCCCATGGAAGGAGATCTCCTTGAGGAAGCAGAACATGCTGATGGGTGTGCTGTTGCTGATATCAAATATGCCAATCTCCAAGAATCTTCCACGGTAACAGAGGCAACGCATTGATGCCTGAAGATAGTAAAAACTGATTATGGAAGATTCAGCAAATAGGTATGTACGTTGCTATTTATGACACTTCCAAATTAAAAAGTGAGTTTGAATTGACTAGAAACTGTTGTTTAAATGTTGGAAAGATTACTCTGTCATAAAATTATTATAAAAAATAGAGCTAATAGAAACAAAGTGAATCTGAAATATGGGAGTGTATAAATTATTAAGCTTTTCTTTTTCTAAAACTGATTGGTCAGTAGTTATATCCAACAAAAAAGTAAATTAAAATCCAATTGAAATATATAAATGTAAATACTCTTTGTAAAAATAGTGTTACGCATTTTAAAATATAAACTTACATGTAATTTGTCATCGGAGAGCGAGTTGAGTACCATGTCTACCCCCTTACCACTAGTCTCACGATTTATCATGTCTTCAAACGAAGTGTCACGTGAATTGCCAATATGGCTATCTGAAGTCCAATTATAGAGGCATTAATTTTGGTTTATTCCTGAATGAATATATTTTTTTCAGTTCAATGCAAGTTCAAATATTTAAGCTTTTGAAGAATTAGATACTTAAAGGTCTCTTTGTGTATTCACAAAAATGTGACTTATTTCGAGTTGAGTTAGATAAAAGTAGTAGATAAAATGGTCCCTAAATATTGAAGTTAATTTTGGAGTAGTAATTATTTTTATATAAAACCTTTAATATCTTTGTACTACTATATCTTGTTACGTATGTGTCGCACTAATACACCGAAGTGACAGTTGAATATGTCAGACAGAGGGAACATATGTAGGTAGTTTAAGATCGTTTAGCTTACATACTGCAACATTTTAATGAAGAGAAGAGAAAGAAACACAAACTAAATGAATATATACGAATGAAGCACCGAATGGGAGTTGAAACAAACTTGAATGATTGTTCAGTTTCGCTTTAAAGATTTATTCACATTTCATGTCCATGACGTTACCTTTTAGTTGAGGGAAAAGTTTTTTGATGAACTCCCTCTTCTCAGCAGAACCCACAGTAGTGAATACCTCGCAGCCGTAGTGTAGTGCTACATTGATGGCGGCCTGACCCACGCCCCCGGATCCAGCGTGGATCAGTACAGACTCGCCGCGCTGCAATTGCCCTACCATCACCTATGATGTTATACAAATAATAAACCACTTTAAGTAATGCAAAACGATAATAGTCCATATAACGTATTCAACGTAACTATGTAAGCAATTATGTTTGAGTAGTTATTAAGATTGGCACTGGCACTGGCCAAAGAGAGTTCAAATTTTGCGATATGCTATATAACAATATATGAACAATAGGTTAAACTATGTAACCACCCTTTGACTATACTGCTTGTATTTTTCGATTTTTACTAGCTACAACATAGGTAACAATTATTATGCCGACATAATCAGTTGTAAGTAAAGTGGCGGGAAAGCTTTATACTGTAACAAAAATGCGTACGCTCAGACATCCTAATAAAAAAGGCTATTTATCCATTATTAAACCTAAGGCAATTTCTTCATCAGTTGATTACTAATTTATGGTTGAATAGTACCAGTTCAGTACCATTGAATAGTAGACTGTGCCGTAAGCGACGGGTATTGTAGCTGCTTCTTCAAAACTCCATTCTTTAGGGATACACCACATGAGAGCCTTATTGCCCTCTACTACATTAGCTAACCCTTGGCTCCTAACCATCGCCATTACTCGGGAACCACTGTTAATACAATTAAGTGTAATATTGTGAAAAAAATCTTATAGCAGATGCTATGTACTTATGATTATGAATATATAATTCATCTCACGCTCATGATTAATCGTCGAACCTTGACAGAAAATTAAACTGAATTATAGTGTGTAGAAGTAAACAGAAGGGTTCACCGTTAATTCGTACATGTACGAAAATTAATGAAATATTGACAAAACTCATGCATAAATCAAAAGAATATAGAAAGCCAGACACAATATTCATGATCATATTAGAAGTTATAATAAATGATCGTAGAACTGCCGAGCATGTACGATATCGTTTAAACTATAAATATCTCATGCCTTGCAGTGCTAAATTCGCTCTACGCCCTTTGCAATGAATCTGGCGTGATGATATAAACATCTCATAACTCACTTGGGTGTCCTGCCGGCTACTTCGAACCCTTGCACGCATTCCTGGGCAAGTCTGCCGCGAGCCACCGCGTCCAGTGACACGCGGCCCGTTGCTGTCACCACGTCACGGAAGTTCAAAGCGGAACAATATACCTACGCAGTTTCTATTTAGTATTAAGTAATAACTATATGGTTAATTTTATACAATGAAAATGTTAATGAAATCTGTAAGGTGGTTTAAACTCACATGTAAAATAACGCTATCTGGGTTTTTAAAAATTTGGTTTGGTTTAATTGCTCCTTCAAGCCATCTTAGAGAAGAAAGGTCACCTATAGTGGTGGTGTTTACGAAAGCGTGATTAGCTCGAACTGTATTCATGTCGCCAAGTAAGAGATGACGATATGTTCCCCATTGACCCTGTAAGAGGTATTAATTATTAATGAATGTGAAGTAAGAAGTTCAATAAAATATTATCTATTATTGGAGTCTAATTATCCTTCAAATATTTTATCTACTACCACCACAGAACATTAGCGATTGCACAAAAAGTGTCACTTAATTATTTAAGCACCAAACAGACCTTCAAAATATTTTCATAATAGTTGTACAGCTTGTTGATTTTATTCTGATTTTTTCTTGCAGGTGAAATTAGTAAAAGAAACGAATCTAAAAGTTAAGCTGACAAAGTTGCGGGTAGTAAATGTTAATTAAATCTAACTATATCTTTAAGTAATAACTTACATCTTGGAAAATGTTGATGGACAATTCTTTATCTAGCTGTAGCTTATACATCTCCAAGTTAGGATTAAAGGGTGGTGCCGACGGATCAGCAATAAGCATGCCATACACAACTTCACCACCAGGTTCCCGTCGTAAGCAATTCACAAGACCTAACAGACCGTTAATGTGCTCATATTCGGTATAAAGAACAACCTTTTGACCATTTTTAAGCTCTTCCTTAACTTTATCTATCCATGAGAAAGAAAGGTCACTAGTGGCAATTTTGACCAATTTAGCAGGTTTCACTTTAATTTTTTTTCTCAAAAGAGTTATCCATTCGACGCCGGTGTCATGGATGGAGATGATGTCGTATTGATCAGAGTAACGCATTGGATGAGGTCGATCTTTCTCTCTACTGATTATGAAGCACTTGTTGCGTAGTGTTGTTATGCCTTGTTGCAGAACCTGCAGTTGTGTTTAAACAAAACAAAATGCTATATCAATTGCAAAATTATGAAAGTATTGCTTTGAGAATTTCAAATTAAACAGTGATTTTGATATTTTATAATTTGATAAGGCCTGTAAAAATACACACTAACATAAAAGAAATAAAGGAAAGGCAATGAACAAATTGAAAAAAGAGCTTACGTCAACTCTTTTTAAAAGATTGGCTCCAATAAATACCACGGCATCTTTTTCTCTCGTGAGCATTTTATTTAAAACAGTTATATGAGAAGGCATATTTTGGAATTTTTCCTTAGAAATCACTAACAACTTTGCTTGTATCAGCGGCATGTCTTCTAACACTTCTGCCACTATCTCCGTAATTGGTACCAGGCCGTTCCTCTTGTATTCCTCATCTACGTACTCAATGCTTTTCACTTTAAAGGTTTGAATATTCTCCAGGATTAGTTGAAGATCTGCTCGGAGGATATCTTCTACCTGAAGGTGAAAAACAGGTATATTGTTACCAAAATAAAATTATACCCATTTCTGTTTCTTAAGGTGCTAGTGTAGATAAATTATACAAGCAGTAACGGTTTTATTAACTAATTCTGTGACTACTCATTCAATGGTTTTTAACGACGTAAAATATAATTTGTCGTGTTTTTCTTTTCGTTCTTTCGTTCAAATAAAAACAATCACCAAATAAATATTCCCGATGAAAAGGTATATCTACTTATTATATTTTATCAATTTTGCAATCCCAATGCTTAATGGAAAATATTTTAAATGAAATGGGAAGGGATTCGAACTCATGACCAGAGTTCCATTTTTATACATAAGCATTTTTCATTGAGATGTATGTACTATTAAAATTATATACGTAGGTATATCTCATATTGGTTACTATAATATAATACGTTTTGTTAATGGAAACAATACATGACATTGATAGCTTTCGGAAACCATAAATAATTGTATTATATGGATTGTTAAAATTTCACTGCAGCAAATTAAAAATAATGTTATTTATAAAACGTATTCTAATTCCTCATCTACGTACATCTTTTATATAAAAAAAAAATTCTACCGTCATTTTAGAGTTTCCAAAGTTAGGTACGAAAACGTTCTTTTCAAGAACTGGTACACCAAATGGATTCCTCTTCGATATCGGAGTAGCATGAAGGCCATGCACTTCGACGCCGCCAGCGCTGTTTATTAATTAGGGATTATTTATTTCAAGTTAACAAATAAAAAATCAGTCGAATAATAAGCTGAACAAACACTTACCGAATAACATCTTTATTAGGATGAACGCGAATTTCGAAGGAATGTTTACTAGAGTCAGTACTCATCTTTGAGATGGCATTGTAATGCATGTTAACATCTATTGATAGTTTCTTTATTCTCGTTGAGACCAAGAGGTCCCTAGTGTCTAGGCCGATGATCTTGAGCTGTAGCATACAGTCCATGAAAGTGACCCAGTTATTGACCCAAGCGATCCGGCCTCGTGTTCCTTCGACGTTGCAACCAATCACACCACGGAAGAGACCACTGCGACATACGTATCAATATATAAGTTAACCATCCTGCAGATTTTTATTTGGAATAATAAGTATCTAATAACGTTGAGATGTAAAGTTGAAGTAGAAATCAAGAGTCTTTTAAATCATAACATATCACAGTAAAATATAACTAAAATGATCTACCAATTACAATGATGACCGAATTTTCGATAAAATGGAGATTGAGAAGTGATTTACTGTGTTGAGATAGTAACTTTTCTTGGGATACGCCGGTAGGCGTTTATAATGCTTATATGTTATAAGTTATTACACGCTAGACAGGTCATAATACAGAGAAGATAGAAAAAAGGAGAGAGATTACAAAGGGAGACTATATTGCTACGTAGCAATTTCTTCCAGGCAACCCAAGGCAAAGAAAAACATTAACTATATAATAAAAAAGGGGGGGTGCAAGATGGAGAAGTAAATAGATAAATCTGTATAATGTAATATAGTAAATAAAATAGATAAAGATAAAAAGTCATTAAACATAAACATATTAACAGTTTTCAAGGAAGTGTGATTTTACTTTTACAATAAAACAATTTAAGGTTCGAGCCTTTCTTACAGCTTCAAGCAAAGAATTCCAAAGACGTTAAACGTTAAATTAAAAGATGAGCGTAGAGTACACTGTGAAGAGGAGGTTCGGAAGGAAAAGCATTTTTTAAGATAAGGAGGGGCCGTAGGTAGAAAAAGGATGCAATAGAGAAGCGTAAGAGTATGTAAGTCTTTGCGCCGGTGAATTGGGAGCCAATTTAGTTTGGAGCGAATGTGCGAATGAGTGAATTCGACTTCGGTTTTTTACAGAATCGCCCTGCGGGTGCAAAGCTATTGGTGGATCGCCCGATGGCATGATACTTGAATAATTCTAATTAGCTGACATTCGCCGCGCTTCGAAATTCAGAAAAGGCTAAGTGAGTCATATCAGTAAAATTTTACTCGTACTATACAATAAAAAAATTTTTTCGGTCATATATTAATATTTTTCCTCACTTATACTGATATCCTCTGAGTCTAAGTTCCTTGTAGAAATCTTTGGTGAGCATATGTTTGATGTTAGGTCCTGCAGCTTCAGGCTGGGATGGCAGTATGCGATAGTATTGACCCACATCCTTCTTTACGTAGATACGGCCAGTGACTATGGAAACCCCACTCTCGAGAATCTAAGGAGCGTATGAGTGTTTTAGTCGATAAAACGTTTATTTTTAACTTTGCTAAAATATATTCAACGTTTCATTTTCTGATGTTTCCTTATCATACCAAAAATTAAATACTCTTTCATTCCTTAAAACATTATTTAATATAACTATAGGTAGCTCTACTAAATCGTACCCGTCCTTTACGGTCAGATATTAATTTTAAAACGTATATAGTTATTTTAAAATGCCAATTCAAAGGATGTTTCTTCACCCCTTCAAACTTACTTCGAAATTCCCGGTTCCTTTTTGAATCATCACAATAAATTCCAAATTTCCATCTTCGGGAATTTTGGTGGCTCTCTGGAAGCGAACGTTCTCAAATACCACAGATATTTCAGTGTACAGCTTACCCATCATCATGCCTAAAGTCTCCCATACTAGAACTAAGTAGCCGGTACCAGGATAAAGATTGCGGCCTGAAGAAAAAAAGGGAAGGGGATATTAAACTTTTATTAATAGTACGGAACAATTGGGTTATAATTCTTATTATATAATACTACATTAATTATACTACATAAATATAGCAGTTCCTAAAAAAAGAATGCCTTAGTTAATATCTTCCTCAAAAAATAATACTTTAAGTGCGCAATTCTTCAAATTGATGCCTAACTATAATGGTGATGATGAGCAGAGGTAATTATGAAGTGTATTTTAAATGCTGGTTTCTTTTATTTTCACGCACTCTACTCCTTAAATAAAATTACTTTATCGTCGAGTGAACACGATCAATCTGTAAAGAATCGAAACCATCCTGACAAAACGTAATAATTAAAAAAAATACATGCGATGAAACCTTTAAAGCTCGTATATTATAAATATTTCAATAGGAATGTTTTACCGTTGATCACGTGTCCGGCCAAGTATTTATTATTCTTGTTGAAGATGGATATTTTCACTATTCTCTCGTTTGATTGTATATTCTTTTCAGCTCGATAGGAATACACAAACCTGGTGATCACAAGAAAAAAATACTTATGAATATTCCAATTCATTTGCTCGCTCTTTAATCCGTGATCCAGGTGCAAATTTCATCGCAGACCCAGGATAATTTGTGATACATACTTTAAGATAGCTAAATGAAGCCTTGTGTACGTCAGCTAAAAGAAAATGGTCATTTCATGTCACCCCAATAAATATATCGTCAGGTATTCAACGCAAACAGAATGCGTTGTCAAAAATGCGGATAAGTCAGCTAATATTCAATACTGATTAATTGTTATTCGGATTCCAAAACTGATATTTCCGTATGTAAATAAATGTTACAGGGGATAAGAAAACGTTTGTTCGTTATTATATGTTATCAATTTTGCATTCACAATGCTACGCTGGAAAATATCCTTAAAAATACACAGAGATGGTACTCAACCCACGGCCTTTCACAATCCAAGCTACTGCTCTAACCACTGAACTACCCATTTTTCAAGCGTTTATAACCTTCGCTACTAGTGAGCGTATTTTTATCAATGTTCAGGCAATCCAAACAACCGAAAGAAATATTTTTACAAATATTTAAAACTTTCAGTTCAAAATATTTCTTCTCTTCAGGTAGCGACAGAACTAAGACGTGTTTGTTTGTGTCAATTAAATTTTAAATTTAAATATTTCCTATTTAAAAACGAAGTAACTTCTTGCAAAAGTACCAGGCGCGCATATTTCGCGAGTGGTATACTGTGTGCATCGCTGTTTACGCTGCCATACGTCATTACGCTGTGATCACTTGAGGCTTGCCACGACTCATAGGCGGAAGCGTTACAGAGCAATAAGCGGACTTCAAAATTGAAAACCTTCCTGATAAGTCTGCATCTAATTCAGAAATTAATCAAATCGGAATTGATAAAACAGCGACTGGCATAAATTCAACCGATAGAAGCGAAGAAGGGAGGATGATTTTGTGACTGAATTTAATAATTTCAAATCAGAAATAAAATCCATGATACGAACCCAAGAACGCGAAATGATGTAGATACTGAATAATATACAACAAAAGTAACAATGATATCCAGATTTCGTTCTCTCAACTGATATTACAAAATGAAGATTTTAAAAAGAAAGTTGATTTACTCGAGAATCAAATAAGAGAAGATAGAAAATATATAATTTTACTTGAAGAAAATATATTTTTTTACTAGATGATACCACGCAAAGCAAATGTTGAAATAAAAAACGTCCCAAAAAACAAAATGAAACAAAAGAAGACCTTTAAGAAGAATTGAAATTGTCGCAAAGCTATCTGTTGCAGTTGGGAGCGATTTAAAATAAATAGATATTAAAGATATATATAGAGTAAAAGCACGTAAGGAATCATCTCAAAATACTCCAATTATTGTTGAGACATCATCCACCATTTTGAAAACGGAAATCATCAAACTGAGTAAGTCATTTAATATTAAGCACAATAATAAATTGCGGGTTCTTCACCTGGGTTTAAAAACATCAGAAGATACACCTATATATATTACTGAACAGTTAACCCCAAACGGGGCCTCGACTTTATTTCTTAGGACGTGAACTAGTAAGATCCAAGCAATATAAATTTTGCTGGACTGCGGACGGCAAGGACTATGTAAGAAAACATGAAAATTCTTCAATAATAACTATAAGAACTGAAGCTAAAGTACAGAATCTCCTGCAAGAAGCATGACTATGTTTATGCTATCAACGTAGAAAATTTAATATATACTCTGTTATTAACTTTGTAATAAGTTTAGTACTTTTATTACCGACTTTAGTCAAGAACTTTAACATTCTGAGTTTAAGAATAACTTTAGTTCATTTTCTCATGCCAGAGGTAGTAAGTAATTTATTATTTAAAAAACAATATGCTTTGATGTTCACCATTATAAATGAAATCTTTAAAATTAAAACATCTAACTATACACACATAATTTTACACACTCTTGTTAATTATACTATTATACTCTCAATTCTAATCAAATAACAAACACTGGTAATATGAAAAATTACCAAGAAGTACCTGCAATTATATTGTCACAAAAAATGGATAGCAGTCTTAAAACGCAACATGAAATAGACGGACTAAGTATTGCACGCGCAATTATTTGTGACATTGAAGATTTTCCCAAATACATAAACATTAAACAAAGTGATATAAAAATTGCATGTCAAAATATTAGAAGTGTTTATAGCAATTTGGACGATTTGAATTTGACGCTTAGTATATTTAAATTCTGTCCAGATATAATAATTTTAACTGAATGCAGACTTTATAAAAAAAGCCCGTTCCTGGGATTAGTGATTATATCCCATATGTAACTACTTATTATATTAATCAAAATGATGGTGTGGTGGTTTATATAAAAAAACTAACCAACGTTAAGACAGTTACTGAAATAAAGCTTAACCACGCATCTTGTTTACAAATAATGGATCAGGATACAGTTGTAATAGGAATATATAGATCACCTTCCATTGTTAATGCAGAACAGTTTATACAGTCACTAAATATACACTTAAATACTTGAAAATTGTTTAAAATATTATAGTCACGAGAGATATAATTATTAACCTGTTGCCAAGAGAAGTAGAACAATGTTATGAACGCAGAAATAGAAGTAATTATTTAAATATGTTAGCTATGCATAGTATTATACCAAGGCATTTATATCCAACAGTCGATACTAACTGCCTCGACCATTACATAATTAAATTAGATTTAAATACATTCTCTGCAACAGTAGCTGTATTAAACACTTCTATGATTGACCATGCAATGATATTTCTTAATTTAAGCCCTTTCGAAATAATATATAAAAAGTACTCCAAAACTGAAACCATTGTTGATTTCGAAAATGCAGTTAAATGTCTATCTAAGAAAAATCTACCTGATCTGTTACAATGCAATGATCCTGATACCATAACAGAAATATTGTACTTATCAATAAATTATCTGAATCTCTAAAAGAGAACACACGTACCATAAAAGTTCCCAAAAGTAAACGAATTATAAAACCGTGGATGACTGAAGGAATATTGAGATGCATAAGACACAGAAATAAATACAAAGAAAGTTTCAAAAAGATCCTTATAATTAAATATTAAAAATTACTTACAAAAGATATCGAAATCATTGTATCAACCCCATTGTAAAAAACACTAAAACGCAGTTATGAGAAGGCAATGCTTGCTAAAAATTCTAGTAATTCCAAAAACTTTGGAACTATATAAATACAATAATAGATAGGAACAAAAAAACCGGTAACACAGATTACTAAATGCAAAATCTAATCCTATACAATCTGTAAACTTTGTGAACGAATATAAATAATTACAATATAAATAATAATTTACGAAGCTAATGTCGGCAAATCATTAGCCGAACTTATAACTATTGAACCGGACCAACCTCAGTGTCAAATCGTTGTTCAAAAAATGCAATCGAACTCTTTAGTTCTTTTAGATACAGATCCTAGTGAGGTTTCTAAAATAATCATGAGTCTTAAGTCTGATTCTACTCCTGGTTGGGATAATATCCCCTCTAGTTACCTATAACTAGCTAAAAACCAAATTATTCCAGTTATTTGTCATTTAACAAATCTCTGCTTTGGGCTGGGGAAGTTTCCGCCATTACTTAAAATCTATTATTATACCTGTACATAAGAGTGGTTTGCGTGAAAATGTTGAGAACTACAGGCCAATATCAGTAATATCATCCCTATCAAAAATATTAGAAAAGCTATTGAATAATAGATTGGTAAATTATCTAAATAAATACAGCAGCCTTTCTAATTCCCAATACGGTTTTCGTAGTAGTAGATCAACCGAAGATACTGTGACGGATCTTACACCCTTTATAGTAAATAATAAAAAATGTCTAGCGGTATTTCTTGATTTAAAAAGGCCTATGACACGGTTTCCATCCCCGTTCTTATCAAATCGCTACACAGTATTGGAATAAGGTCTGCTCCTGTAGATATACTCGAAGATTATTTAAGTGAATGCAGTCAAAGAGTGAAAATTGATGATTATGTAAGTAAAGACACGTCCATTACCTACGGCGTACCTCAGGGTAGCGTCTTAGGCCCTACATTGTTTTTAATATAATTATAACTTAAATATTGATAACGCAAAATTTTTCTCATATACAGATGACACAGCAATAGTATTTTATGATTCTTCATGGCAAAGGGTTAAAAAAGTCTCTGAAAAAGGATTATCACAAGTGGCTGGGTGGCTAAAGGTAAATCTGCTGTCATTAAATACATAAAAAAATAATTTTATGTGTTTTTCCATCTATAACAGAACACAACCGAATATCAAATATTGTATAAAAATATTGTATGTCTAGATACTGGTGATTGTGATTGCGAATGTCCTTCTATCCACAAAGTAAACTCAATAAAATATTTGGGTTTCAAACTGGACCAAAGATTAACTTGGGATTCACATATTGATCTTATTAGTGGTAGAATAAGAAAATTAATTTGGGTATTTTAAACTTTGAGACGCATTGCTAACAGAAAATTATTAAACACAATATATAAAGCTCTTGCTCAATCTATTATAATATACTGCCTCCCGATATGGGGAGGCACTTTTAAAAGTAAATTTATCGAAATAGAGCGAGCAAAAAGATCCTTACTGAAAGTCATGTATTTTAAACCCTTTAGATATTCCACACAAATGCTTTACAGTGATATTAAAATTTTTAACAGTGAGAAAATTATACATAATTCATTATATTTTAAAATTACACAAAAGAATGGAATACAACGGTGATTTCACTAAGGATCGAAGAAATAAAAGAGTTATAAATCAAAATAAAATTAGAATATCATTTGCTGCCAATCAATATAATCAACAATCTGCTCATATTTATAACCATATAAATAAATTTTTAAATATCTATCCTCTTAATTATTTTAATTGTAAAGAAAAGCTAATAAACTGGATAAGATCTCTTGACTATGAAAAGACAGAATTATTACTGAAACACATTTGAAACATCAAACTGGCTATAGGGTGAACAACATGTAATACAATAAAAATATTAAAACTTCAACAACTTGTAACTTGTAACAAACACACATGACACTACCAAACGACAATACTCAAAACTACCGGCATAAACATGTGTTACTAACCTACTTGCATGCATTATAAATATTTTATAGAATCAATGAAATGCTGATGATTTTTTGTTTTTTTTTTTAAGGTTTGAAATAATTTATATGTAATTGTAAAATAATATGTATTACAGCTATAGAAGAGCAATGTCTCTTGATACAGATACTTACTATCTAAAAAGAGACATTGTTAATTGTATTGTTAAAACTACATTTTATGTGAAATAAAGCCATTTATTATTATTATATTATATGAAAATGTGTTCTAAATATTATATTTTATTTTTCGTTCACAATGCTATCTATACTGAAGAATATTCTTAATGAATGAATGTTCGTTTCAGAAATATTTAAATCGTTTGAAAAGGTGTATTATTGTAGCAGGAAAATGTTTTTAATATTGAAATAGCAGCTTAAACAACCTATGCTAAATAGGACTTTAAACCCATTTGCTTAAAAAAGAAGAATCTTGACGTTATCGTATGAATAAATCTGACTGTTATAGGATTGTTAGTTAACTCACCAATTATCCCTATGCTCCCATTGTACTAGATGTGAAATCATAGGAGTACCGCTAGACACTGGGTATGGCACA